GCCTCGGTGGAACTAGACGACATCATACTGAAGGGCCATGACCAACCCATACGTGAAGCTTTGCACCGAAGTCCAAGCCTGAGAAAGCTCGAGTTGTGGTCGCAATACTTGGCAACGAGCGCGTCTCGAAGCTTCGTCGCAACACTCCCGAAACTGAACCAACTGCAAGTGCTGAAAATTTTCGACATGCCTTTCGACAGCGTGATCATCCGAGACTTTTCAAAGTTCCTGTCAAGCACCCGATCATTGACGACGCTCAACATGATCTACCAGATTCTGGAGGAACAAGACGCGGTCATCCTTGTTCAGGGACTTGAGCGTAATACTTCAATCTCGACACTGTCCATCAACATGAGTGTACAGAGCTCGAAATCATTGTTTACACGCTATTTGAGACTGAACCAGACGTTGCGCACTTTGAACATGGCGTCTCAGCTCAATACTGAGCACGATCTTAGCCCGACAATCGGGGCGCTATTCCACAACAACCACCTCTCCGTGTTGAACCTAATCGGTTTCGACCTGGATTATTCTCAGAATGAACTCATCGTCAGTATGCTGATCCAAAATAGAACCTTGAGAAGCCTACACATGGTTAACAGCTTGATCAATATCGAAGCCTCCATCGTGGTGCCCTCCATCGTGGAACCCATCTATTTTGCATTCAGGAGAGAGGCCTCCCTGATATCGCTTTGGTTGGTGGCACTGACAGAGAACAATACCCTAAGCGAGCTGACAATGGATATGTTGTTGTGGATGGAACTGGATGACTACAAGTTGTTCTTCCTTGCGCTCGCGTGCAACAGCTTTTTGAAGAAGGTCAACGTCCCGTATTTGGAGGACAAGGATGTGGCCGATATATGCCGGGCCGTGCGGCAGGCCGGCGTGCAGGAGCGCGTCTCCCTCGGAAAGCATCGCTTCTGGCAGGAAACCACAGCCCCCCTCTCGGAATGCAAAGAGCTGTCCTGCATCACCCTGCAACGGAGGGCACATTTTCACGACGAGCCACTGCACACCACCTTGCGCCAGTTGCCGATGTGCAGTCACGTGAAGTCGTTGTGTTTGAATATAGACATGGAGGGGATGAACGACATGTGGAGGTCCTTGATGGTGCAATACATCACCAAGACAACGGCGCTTAGAGAGCTGCGGCTTGTTTTCATCCCCAACGATTCGTTCCGGACCGCGTGGTTCGATGGGACTTTGTTGCAAGCGCTGGCCAAGAACAAGAGCATCCGCGAACTGGTAATCTTTGGTTTCCTGTTCGGCGAGATTGAGTCACAGGTTCTCGTAAACATGCTGGACTCCAGCCGGACGCTGTGTGACGTGGCCATCAGCCCCTGCTGTACAGACGCGTCGACCGTCTCGCTGGCGCGCAGGCTCTCCGCGACCATGTCGGGGAACTACACACTTCTCCGCATCGGTTTGAGCTGCTCAGGAAGTTGCCCCACCGAGTTGTTCGCGATCGACGACGTTGTGCGTCGCAACAACTCGCTGGCGACGCGAGCGGCCCACTTCGTAAAGGGAACGAGGCACAAGTATTGCGGGGCCGCTGCCGAGCTGATTGGCTTCAACCAAGGACTCGTGGAGAAAGTGCAAGAACTCGCCGCCGTCGACGAAAACGAGGCAGCGTCGCGAATCAAGAGGAGTCTGAAGAGCATCTCTGAGTTGGACGACTTCATGCGCCTCGTGGGGGTCGTCAAGCGCAGTGTCAGCTGCCACAGGCGCGAGGACGGTCAGAAGCAGATAGTCGACCTCAATCGCGACTGCTGGCTGCACATACGCCAGTTTGTGAAGGTGGGCGACATCCTGGATTGAAACTTTTGGCGCGGAGTTTTTCCCCTGTGTCGCAGCAATTCTTAACTTTGTGTCATGTCATTATACGTGTAGCGGAGCTTTCAGTTTTTTTTTTCGCTAGAACCGCAAGAGTTGCTTCGTGCATCTGCAACACTTTTTGGTGCCTGCTGCAGAAGCTGAATTTTAAGACGTTCTTCGACCTGCACGACTTGTCAATTAAGGCGTCACATCGTCCGTTTCACAGTTGTTCGGACATTGAGACTTTCAAATCACTTCCGTCCTTCTCAAAGCAATTGCATAGCAGTAAGGCAAAGGGGCATCCTTTCGAAGCTCTTTCTTTGGATTTTAGAAGTACTGCATTTGGACACTTGTATGCTTCTTTTGCTTACTGTGTTGCCGAATGCAGGAAGAAATATGTGCATGCACTGGCCTTTAGGGAAGGTGGACTTTTTACAGAACGTAAAATACTATAGGCTTTACGCACGTGGCCCCAATTCGCAAACCCGTCTTCGTTCATCGCTACACGCGATGTCCGTTTTGCGGAGACAGCAGCCGCCGACTCAAATTAAGCTGTAGTGCGAGTGCAAATCGCGATCTTTGGCAAATGATTTTCACTGCACATGAGCAATAGGCATTCTTATTTCGTGAGAACCGAAATTTTTTCAGTCGAGTGAAAGCGAGGCTCGTTTCAGAACACGGGTTCTAGAATACTGAGACCATAAACGCGAGAACCCTTACAAGCTAGATAGGTGACGCCATCTATTGGGGTAAATAAGAACCAGGGAAGCACCAAATTCTCACCACACAAACATTGTGCCTTCTGTTTTGTGTGGAAATGTATTGCAGGGACCCAGTTATGAATCAGTTGCCTTTTTGATCATATTTACCTTCGCAAGCGCTAGGTGTGTCCATGGCTTAACGATAGTTATAGCGCGAGAAGAGGACTACGACAAAAAAGACAAGAAAGACACGAGCGCTCGTGTCCTTCTTGTCTCTATGTCGTCGTCCTGTTATCGCGCTATAACTATCGTCATGTCAAACCAACTGGCCCAAACTACCATACAATGACTGTCGTTGCACGAAGCGTCACAAGATATATGCACCATCTTCCAGTAAGGCCGGGGCATCCCTATCAAAATTCCCATAAAAAATCTAAATCAAATGCATTTTATGGTGGCAAACGAAGATATTGTTGCAAACGCAGAAGCAGTTGTCCACTGTTTCCACTTGGAGAAACTACGCCCTATAATATGATTATTTCTAGTAAATTCTATCGTCCTCACTGTTGCTTTATAATTGCCTTGCAGCGTCCTAACCATGGCTGTGACATGAATGCATAATGAAATGATGACGTAGCTGAAACATGTAAAGACTATCACACTAGATTACCGTCAACTCTGCCTTATACACCACTTAGAGGACGTACGGTACATGTGAATTTACTCCTAACATCACATAATTGCTATTTGTGGGAGTGTTTAGCAAAAGACCCGCTCGAAGATATCCACTGTATTTCAGTTGGGCGCACAATGAATCAATACTTTTTAATTTACTGACTAGATTCCGTATATCCTTTATCAAAACTGCAACGCTATGTTATTTATTTACAGCAACTGACGACTGTCCCACTTCTCCTGGTAATTTTAATCCTGTCTTCACCAGCCGCTTTGTAAACTCCTGTTTGTTTTTTTCGGGGTTCGTAAATTTTGCTTTTCTTTATCATGATATTGTCACGAGAATGTTCTGTATTGCAGTTGTTACTTGAAATTATAATGTTGTACCTTTTTTTTTGTCTTTTGTAGTGGTGTGGTGTTTGCATGGGCGTAGCCAGAGTGTGGCATACCAGACTCGTCCCCCCCCCCCCCCAGAAATTTTTATTTGCCATGACATAGAGAGCGAGAAATGGCCATTCCGAAGGAGTGCCACCCCCCCCCCCCCCTTAAATCAAGGAGGTGCCCTCCTCCAGAAAAAAAAATTCTGGCTACGCCCCTGCCACTTTGTGTGCGCATTGATTATCTTGTAAATGCTTTTTATTAATTGCTGTTTATTGTCATTAAATGTGATGATGGATGCTCACCGACCCGAATGCCACATTGCGTCCCTAGGGGTTCCATGCTGTGATGCTCGTGACAATAAAAAAGCAAGAAAATAAAAAGTCGTGATGACTAAATTTGGGAACTTCTCGATTCTGCCAAGTTCACTGAATGGATCGTTTCCCGTTCCGCACAGAGCCTCCAGCGGAGATCGCCCAAGTCAAAACTGGTGGCGCTTGGCCTCTGATATTGTCCGCTGCGTGACGGTAGACAGTCTTGGAGGCCAGCATTTCCACTTTCCTTTTGGAGGAGAAACTGCAAGCTCGTGATACCAAATGCCACTCAGTCTAGTCCTGTCCAATGATTGAATGATATGTGGGGTTTAATGTCCCAAAACCACCATATGATTACGAGAGACGCCGTAGTGGAGGGCTCCGGAAATTTCGACCACCTGGGGTTCTTTAACGTGCACCCAAACCTGAGCACACGGGCCTACAACATTTCCGCCTCCATCGAAAATGCAGCCGCCGCAGCCGGGATTCGAACCCGCGACCTGCGGGTCAGCAGCCGAGTACCTTAGCCACTAGACCACCGTGGCGGGGCTATCTTCCACTATAGCTGGATGATGTCGGCATTTTGATGTTTCAGCATTTTGATGCTTCGGTATTTTGATTTTTCGGCATTTTAAATTTACGACTCTTTATATTTTCGGCGTTTTGATTTTCCGCTGTTTCAAACTTCGGCATTCCTATAGTTCGGCCTTTTGATTTTCGGCGTTTTGAATGCCACCCGCGTTTTCAATGGAGGCGAAAATGTTGTAGGCCCATGTTACTCGTGTGCTCAGATTTGGGCGCATGTTAAAGAACCCCAGGTGGTCGAAATTTCCGGGGCCCTTCACTACGGCATCTCTTATACGGTTATTTTGGGACGTTCAACCCCACATATACATTAATCAATCAAATATATATCGAAAAAAAATGCTAATAAGGTTGGCTATATTTGGCTACAACTTTTGTTGCCATTTTTGGTCTTTTTTGGCTACATTTAGGCCACAAACAGGGTATTCGGCTTTTGGCTGTTCCGTCTTGTCCGACCTGGCAACACTGAGTACTTTCTCGCATTTTCCCGCGTTGCTTGTTCGTGTACGAACGTGCGGATCTTGCGTTCTGTCGAGTCACGTGCTTCCACCGCGTTTTTGCTTTCGTCGAAATGAGCGGCGTCTTTTGCCTCGTCATATTACAAAACGGCAGCCGGCGAAAGTTGAAGCTGGCAACGGGAACCTACGCCGAGTTCCTGCAAAAAGTGACGGCAATCGTGGACGTCGATCTCGAGAACACGCTGGTAGATTTTCCTTATTTGCATGTTTCAACTGCTGTCACTTGTGGTCAGTCGCGAGCTCAACAAGTTCCTCAGCTTAAAGCGAAACGCATGCTGCATGTCGCAAACAAAACCCGCCCGGAACCTTCACCATCGCACTGGCCTCCCTAGCGCCACTTTCTTGTGTTTCTTCTTTAAACCTCTACATCACGTTTAGTTTTCGGCAAGGTTCCTTTTGGCGTTGCATAAGTGGTTGCCAGACTGGAAAGGTGGTTGTTGCCAGACTGCCGCTAAATTTGGCTGAAAATGTTTCTTTCGTAGTTGTGGCTTCTTTGTAAGAGTTTGGTGCTATCCGCGGTGCATTTTGCGAGTGCATGAGCGACGCTGGCCCTTTTAATTAACGGAATGAACCGAGCCTAGCAGAAGTCGAGCGCGGCGCTGCCGTGTAATTAAGAGGCCGTTTTAATTAACGGAATGAACCGTCCATTACAGAAGTCGAGGTGCGTTCTCTTGCTGTGTGCGCAGCTGTGCGATTAAGATATCGCATCTCAGTATTAGGGATGACGGGGAAAACTGAATAGAGTCGCAGGAGGTGATGCGCTGCCCCCCTCCCCCTTAATTTTCTTTTTTTTCCTCTCAGCTGATCGTGTCGCGTCGACCGCGCGCCACGACGGGGGACGCTACGCTTCCCCTAGCTGTGTCAGCACAAGACATATCGTTCGGACTCGTATATACATGTGATGAATAAGCGTTCCAAGGCTGGTTAATTGGGGTATGTCGGATGGCATTTTCTATAGAAGGCTATAGTCTGATCATGACCTCCTCTGTGACTTAAAAAGTAGTGCCACTCATGCACTGGGCAGTGTTTTCCGAAGGCCGGGTGCTATTCATGAGGTCAAGTCTGAAGTGCACGGGCGTTGGTGCCAGCTCGTGTGCATTCGCCGCTGAGGAGAAAATGTTGTTTACTTCCCAAGTTGTGTGCCTCAATAGTCGACCAGCCTCGTTGGTAACCTATCAAAAATTTCAAGGTCTGACGAAAATGTTTGTTAGGCGATATTTCTACCTTTGTGTCTGGTAATACCAAAATTAAATTGTGAGCACTCTAAAGTATTGTACAATTTGCTCCTAGCATCGTTAATCTTAGGGTCATTTCGAAAGAGGTGCCTAAATTGGTAAGAAAAAAGTGGCAGAATGCCTAGGCAACGTGCACTCAAGCTTTGTTGATGGTAACAGCACAGTTTCCAAATAAAGGCCTTGCACGGGGCAAAGAACAAAACGATGTGGGTGTTTCAGTAAGAGTTAAGCCTGATTATTTATTTATTTATTTATTCATACTGCAATCCCTATTACAGAGATTTTAGCAGGGTGGTTACAGATATAATTTTCACAATGTTGGCACTCAAGAATGCATAAACCAAACAAACAAACAAAAAATAGAACGGCATGATGTGAACAATCAGGTCAAATTTGCTGCAAACAACTTTAAGGACGGCTCCATCACTTGGTTATTAGTTAGTCCATTCCACTGAGTTACTGTACGAGGGAAAAGGGAATATTTGAAGCAGTTATTTCGGGACCGGAAAGGGGTTATTGTAAGTATCATGATGCCTTTGGCGGGTGGCGTACCCAGAAGAAAAGGAAATGATATTGGAAACATCAAGCTTATAATGCCCTTTAATTATTTGGTAAAGAAATTGTAGTCGTATTAAACGATTTCTACGGTAACTGAAGGCTCATTGGCACGATGTAGGAGTTCAAAGCTATTAAAGATAAAGCGGACTGCCTTCTTCTGCACGTTTTCTAATTTAGTTATGTTAGCTTTAGTGAAGGGGTCCCAAACAATCACTCCATATTCTAACACTGGGCCAATGATAGTCCTGTACGCTAGAGTACGCACCGTGGAATTAGAATATTTCAGAGCTCTTCGAAGGAAGAATAGTTTTCGGTTAGCATTTGTAATTACGGAGTCAATATGTCCCAATTAGAGCGTGTCCCCTCAGGAAATGAGGGCATTTCTGGCCTAATTAGCCAAAACCACCTTGAGAGCCGCCCGCCAACAGACCCACAGGAACAAGGAACAAGCGCCTTCGTCAGGCACCCGTTGTGCTTTTGTGTGCGCCCTTCATATGCAATTCAACGTCTGTAATACTCGCTTTTCTTGTAAAACATCACACAGGGCCTTCATCTACATTATACTAATGGTCATGTCACAAGAGGCTGTTAAGTCGCATGAGCACGCACGCTTAATTTAGAAAACAAATTAGGATGCCTTCGATGTAACATTTGCCTGTAATATTCAACCAGAAGTGACCATGTATACATAACAAGTAAACAATACAAACATCTCAAAGGTTTTATTTTAGTGTCAGTGGTCCCTTATCGGTCAGAGATGAACAACTTGGAACACAAGCGCAACACGGCTGCTCGTGTAGTAAAATTTTTTTTTTCATTCTTTTGGACGTGTGTCACCTTTTCTTGGTTTGTTTTGTACAGCAATAGGCTTTTTTATAATATTTTAATGTCATATGTGCATGATAGGAAAAAGTGAAATCACGGATTCTCCCATTGTAGTGTTAGAGCAGTGAATGCGCCGATACATGTAAGAACTTTCTCGGAGAACATCCATATCTGACTGCGAGTTGGCCCTTTTTTTTTGTTCTTTTAGTGTGCCCCTCGCTTATCCGCCGGTCTCATAAAAGTACTTTTGTTGGGGGGTGCGACAGTGAAAAGCAAAGCAAATTGAGAAATAGCAATGAAAGTTGGCAGATAGTTAACATTTTAGACCGTTTTGCAATTAGACCATTTAGTCTTGCATGGCTACATTATTTGAGTAAATTCATCCTGGCCATTATTGTATGCGCACATTTTTCTCCTCGGGAATCAGACAAGTGAAAGCGCCAAGACCGATAGCCTTGCTAGCGTCACGGGTAAATGCAAAGGAAAATGTGTGGCTGCAGTCACTCAGCATTACATTTTTTAAATATATGTCAGCCATGTTTACCCCAGGTTTTAGGCGTAACAAATTAAGAAGAAAGAAAATAACTGCTTTGGTAGTGTAAAACTTGAGAAATAAACCGTAGAGACAATGATCAAAAGTAAAAACAAACCTGTCTTGCTACAATTGCTCTGATTCAGTCATGATATTGATACAAGGTAATAAAAGTTAGTGATTACCTGAACAAACAAGTGTCAATGAATGAAATACGTTATTCTTTGACTTGCATGTCGATAGCACCAAAACAACCTCTAAATTTAGATAATTGCCTTGTTAAATTTTGCTGGAAACCTTCAATTTTTCCCATAACGGTGTGATGCTGATAAATCTACAGTTGTCCCATATTCTTGTAAACCACAAAAAGTTCGATGCAAAAGATTTTCATTCAAAAGAAAGCTGGCATTGTTCATAGCTTGTCATGATAAACCTCACTGGCGTATTGTCAAGCTTTGAGGCTTTATCCCTGAGTTGCAATATGCTCGTTATTGTAGCACGAGTGCTCATACTAGTGACTCAGCAAGCATCAGGACGTTGGCTAGTTTGTACATGTTTAAAAGAAGTGATTAACAGCACAAACATGGGATGAAAAAAAAAAAACAGCACCCATCCTCTTCCTTTTCGTCTTATGTGCAGGATTTTAATCTCTTCTTCAAGACTTATGGCATCCAACAACACAAGAACTGTTATTTAAAGGGAAAACTGTTCAGACAGACTAAATAAAGCTTTCCGTCTTTTTGGAGAATAGTTCAAGGCATTTCCACCAGCGCTTAGCTGCTGTATTTACCAAGGCCCAGAAGAATGCGCCTGCTACCACCAAAGGCTTGTGTGGTGGCACAGAGTTCAATGTTCAAGGTGCTTATACCGGCACTGTTTGTGAACTATCGCTATCATGAGGACCGAATATTGTTTTCTAGTATCGGTGCAGTTTCCAAGAGTAACCTGTTGCAGTTCAAGTTACTGTGAAAAAGTAATGTGGTTACTCTTATATTATTGTAAAAAATATTTAATTGATGATGAGTCAAATGATTGAAAACAATTAAAAATTAATTAAAATGAAAGGCATGCCGATTCTTAAAATTCCATGTGGTAAAACCCTATATGGAGGAACCTTGAAAGGTGGCCCAACACCAGCATTCTAAATGGACATCTCGTTTTGTTTCATCAGTTTTTATGTTCACGCACCATTGCTGATAAAGGACTTAATTTGCAGATAATAACAATAATAATCCTACCAGGATAATAAAAGCGGAAAATGTGGTTGATGCAGTGGAGCCCCTGCATTATCTCGGCGAACTCAGAAGAAAATAATGCCATAAAAAGGATAAGAGGTTGGCTTCTTTGAGAAACACTATGGTCAGGCATTATACATCAAACAAGCCTGTACACTCTCAAGGGCTGCAAAGCCAACCAGATTAATAAAATTAAATAGCACTGCTACAAGAACACGTGCATACAAAGAATTTGAATGCTTTAGAATGTGGCTAAAATAAAAATAATATTTGATAGGAAATAGAAAATTTCCTTTTCTCGGCTTCAGCACGGCGCAGCGCTCGATATATAGGATGTTTTGCTCAACGGCAGTTCAATATATGTGTACACCAGCTTCGTGCTTTTGCATGGGAAATTTTAAGGGGATTTCTCAGCTGTTCGATATAGCCAATAATTTCATAAATCCGAGTCTGATATACCCGGGATCTACTGTAATAAACAAGCTCCCAAATGAAATATTGCCCCAGCCCGTGAAACAACAGTTTGCTGTTGTCACTTATCAATGGGTTGCCATTATTAATGCAGTTGCATTCAGGACATTGGACCAGGAACAGTGTGAAAGCCAAGAGGGTGCAGGGAAAGGCTGAAGAAAGGAGCAGTACTTAATGGCTTCATAAATTTGTTGCGGCAAAGTGAAACACTTCTGGTAGTAGTGAATGTTTGAATGATACTTGTGAAGTGTTTTTTGAGTCTGAAAATAGATGAATGGGTTCTTGCTGGCCTAGATTATTCGTATGTAGACGTATAGTGTTGTTACGTCAACATTTGCTTCTTTCGGAGTTTACCGAATGGGATTTTTTTTTTTTTGTAGATCACGTTCACTGACATAAGAGAGTCTATATCTGATTTACTTCGATGAAAATTAGTATAAACTAAAATTTTGAGTGTTATAACAATGTACATATTTAATTAATTCTGTGCAGCAAATGGAAAACGTGACTTAAGCTTTAAGCAGAATCAATTAGCACCTGAAGGAGTTCAATGCATGCCTTTCTTTTACCGATTGATAGTATGGATCCAGCAACGGTGGTGCATCGAAAGTGTGAAGGCTGTTTTCGGTCCGTGGCAGGCGGTACTGTCAAAACAGCTTAACCTGCTGGGCTGGCCTGCTGCAGAGCAGCAATCGTGTGGCGTGTTTGTGCAAACTATGTCCTGATGCCTTTCCTGTCACGAATGCGGTGTAATGCTGATGGTGTTCGCTCTATTCATAGACTGTACGTCTTAGTCGCAGATTGTTAAAACAAGAGGCACAACAGAATGACAAAAAAACACATCCCTAATGGTGCCACTGTTTTTGCAGTGTAGGGATGAAAAAATGCTGCAAATTATTATAGACAATGCACTGATTAATATGCTTAACTATGCCTTTCTTTGGGGATTGCTACATACTCGAATGCATAAAAGTTCTTTTTAAAAAATGCGATTCCCTGTCCCAAACAGATCCAGGTGTATGACACCGACCTGGACGACTTTGTCGACCTTGAACCCGAAGATGAAATTCTAAACAAAGCGAAGCTGCGCGTCATCTCAAGGAGTGCTTCAGTTCTGTGCCATGCAGCAGTGGATACTGGTGATCAAGACGTTGCACCCCCTTATCCACAAAGTCCGTGAGTGTTGTTCAATATTGCCGATTTAATCCAATATCTATTTCAGGCACGGTGTCATCATCATCAATCTGAGCCTGTTCTGCACATTCATTCTGAGACAAAAGCCTTTCCAAATAATATCTTGCATGAGCTGATTCTAGTTTATAGACGCAACTCACTTTTGTATATTTGGGATCAGTCTTGATACGATCAAGTGCTCAACACAGTGATTGGTACAAGCATCACATCTTATTTTCAACCAAAGTCTTTGCAATACACTTCAGTGCAGAGAAGATTTCAACATAGCTTTATGTTAGCTGAGTGTGCTACCACCTTTGAAAAGAGGTTGAACGTGTTTTTCTGTATCACTGCTTTTGGTAGATGTACCGTATGTCGTCACAATGATCTCAGCTCGGTTATGGCCATGACACCGTTTTGGCACATATGTTTTTATTAATCTTGTGTTGCAACAGATTATCGTAAGAGTATCATAAGTCTGCGGAATTTGTTTGTAATTGTAACAGATGCTTTTCATAACTGTAAAACAAGCTTTTCTACAGTATGGTTAGCCGAACTAGTCGCAACTAGTTTCTAGTGGCTAAGGTACTCGGCTGCTGACCCGCAGGTCGCGGGATCAAATCCGGACTGCGGCGGCTGCATTTCCGATGGAGGCGAAAATGTTGTAAGCTTGTGTGCTCAGATTTGTATGCGCGTTAAACAACCCCAGGTGGTCAAAATTTCCGGAGCTCTCCACTATGGCGTCTTTCATAATCATGTGGTTTTGGGACGTTCAACCCCACATATCAATCAATAGTCGCAACTAGTCATTTATTGCAAGCAGCATGTGTTCAAGCACAGTTTGCTTTTATTATGACATTTAAAACGAAGACTAAGCTGACTCGATATAAGCACGCATAATAAACAAGCCCCAGCACCTGAAGCTATAACCTCTTGTCGCTCTGAAGCACAACAGTTGACGCCTCGAGTTTCGCGCAAATGTGCAACAAGGAAAAGCACTCTTGCGGATTTTGGAGAGGGTCTATTATGAAGACCGGCCTGATTTGGCTTAAATGTTGAAGCAACAGTATTGAGGTCTTTCTTGACGGGGCTAAGAATGTGTTTCGTGATGTGTGGAAAAGTGAAAGCTGTCATCCATAGCTGCAGTGAACGTGGATGCTCGAACTGTCTGCATTGTCGTACTGTGTGAGCACGCACGTGCAACCGATGTGAGTGGAGGTCTCCGGATACCTTCTCGCCATCCACAGTGAGTGAAGGCAAGTAAGATTGTTGGCGAAATCGATGGAGCAAAGAGACAGATTGCTCACTTGGCTATGTCAAAGCTGGGGCACTATTAAGGTTTCTGCTGTCAAAATAAGTGTTGCACGTGACACACGCACAGTACTCTTTATCGCATAAGCTGGTTGGAATGAGGTAAATGCTGTGAGGTGTAGGCCAGCCACATGCTCATGCAACAAAACGTATGTCCATATAAGTACAAAAATATTAGTCAAAATCAGAAAATACAGTCAGGCCTGCTGGTAACGCATTTGTAGCCTGTTTTAAACTTTCTGAGGGCAGCTACTGCATGTACACCTGCATGGCACCCAGTATGCCATAAATGATCACAATTTTTGTGAGTAGCAAACTGGATTCCAAAGGAAGGCAAGCGCTGAGGGGTAAACAGGAAGTTAAATAAGCAGAAGAGATTAGGAAGCTTGGTGGTGCAAGATAATTAAGCATAGTACTAATTAGAGCATGGTCTTCACTGCTTTCCATGTTGCACCTGGGAATTCAAAAGCAGGTGGAATGCAGGAAAGTCCAACTCATAAGAGAGCAACTATAGAAGGTTAGTCACCAATTTTCTAGTGCAGAGCCTTTTTTTTATTTAGGAGTGCCACAGATGCTTTCTGTGCGTGTGGCATAAAAAACAAACAAAAAGACATATAGTCGTTTGCGTTCCGTTTTCAAAAAGCTTCACACGTCTGTTGTGTTCACACATGAAGCACCGGCTGATATTGCTTTTGTTGGGTTGGCACTGCAGGTCTGCGCATATTAATTTTCCAACATTAGTAAATTTAGGTGAATGAAAATTTACATCTCTATCGCACGACTTGATTCTCTGAATTGCACAACTGCATCGTTCATCATGCCTTGCTTGTGAGCAGTCTTTCAAAAATGGCGTTTCAATTACGGTGAGGAGATTCACTCCTCTGTTGACTTTTGTTATACCGTATTTACTCGATTCTACCGCGCCCTCAATTGTAACGCGCACCCGGTTTCCACGACAAAAAAAAGAAAAGAAAAACAAGACATCGATTGCAACGCGCACCCATTTTTCTAGTTGGCCCGCACGATCACACGACTTGAAAAAACAACTCCTTTCGGGAGCGTCTTCCATTTGAATATGAGGTACGGCGGAAGCTTGTGCCCATCTGACATGTAACAGAGCATTGCCGTCACTGTAGTTACTGTGGATCGA